AAAAAAAAATAAAAATAAGTCTGGATTTCCGATGATGATTAATAAACCTGTGGATATAAACAAATATATCATTACGGTAATTTCATTTATTACTAATATTTTCAAACGAAACTTATATCACCTATATGCCTACTATCTATTCAATCTCTCGAGTGTGAATACAAACCATTCACAATTGAAAAATATGTGAATAATGACATTCATTATAATAAAGGTTTTTGTTTTTACGAGTTGATCACGCACGGATTGATATCAGTTAGAGAGAGCATTGAAAACCAGCATTGCGGGGAGTACTGTCAGACAGCCAGCTGTTTCATCAGCCTAGTTTGTGAATCATCGGAAGTACGCACCCACCACTGCACCGGGGTTCGAACCCAGGACTTCCGTGATCAACTCGTAAAAACAAAACCAAACCTTAAAACCAAACTATAGAAAAAATTAATCTGATGCTCGCTAGTGACTTGAAACAGGATGGAGTTTCCTGGAAACAGTCAGTTCTAGTGAGAAGTCGTGACCGGTGAGGTATATCGAGATGTCTGTCACGTGTGAGGATGGATATCCCACCGACGACATTGGTTGGTGCCAGTCGCGCTAAATCACGAATCGGTAGACGTTTGAATTCATGCACTGGCTGGCCATTTAATCAGGTAGGGTCCCAGTGAGTGGCTGAATGGTATACGAGCCAGCTAGCTGGCCTTGTAACCGGAAGGTCCTGGGTTCGAACCCCGTGCAGTGATGGGTGCGTACTGCCGATGATTCCCAAACTAGGCTGATGAAACAGCTGGCTGTCCAGTACTCCCTGTGGTTGGTTTTCAATGTTTCTCTAACTAATATCAATCCGTGATCAACTCGTAACAACAAAACTAACCCTTACAAACCAAACTATAGAAAAAAAGGTTTTTGTATTTCCTAATGTTTAAAAAAAACGATATTGTAAAAAATTCATATGATTTCAAATCCCAAATATAGAACACCGAGAAATTGATAAAGAAGACATTATGGTTAGCTATGATATTAACTCATTATATACTAGTATCCCTATTACCGAAAGTCTTGATATCATTTCCAATCTACTAGAATCAGATACAACGCTATCACAAAGATGTCCACTGGACACCAGTGAAATAATTAAGAGCTGAAATTCTGTCTAGAAAGTAATTATTTTACATTTAAAGGGAGTTTATATAGACAGACAAATGGTGTTGCTATGGGTTCACCAGTCTCCCCAATAGTCGCTGACCTTTTCATGAATAGATTCGAAGATAACATCTTTTCAAGCATACTCACTCCTAAAATATGGTTAAGATATGTAGATGATACTTTTGTAGCGCTAAAACGAGCGAGATCTACACAGTTCATTCCTGGAGAAAATAAACTGTGTATCTCCCAGAATCCAGTTTACTTCGGAAGCAGGCAGAATCAGACATCGGTGAACTACCATTTCTAGACTGCCTCGCTAGTTATGAGGAGGGAAAACGGACATTTTAGTATATCCATATTCAGGAAGAAAACCCACTCCAATAAATATTTAGACTTCGGATCATCACACCCCATCAGCGCAAAGGTATCAGTCGTTTCAAGTCTTCTTAGACGGATGAGAAAGAAAAAGAAGAAATATCAAACATTACTGAAACTCTCCTCAAGCAAAACAACTACCCAAGGAACTTCATCAACAAAATCAACACTGACATTAAGTATGGTCGAAAACGCATTCCGAAAATATGGACCTCAACAGTCGTCATTCCATATAGAGCAGAGACATCAGACGATATCAGAAGAGTACTCAATCAGCTCGACATTAGAGTTTTCTTCAAAACATCAGACACGCACACTGCGAAACAACCTTGTCCATATAAAAGACCAAATCCCTAAAGATTCTCTATCTACTAATTGTGTCTATAAAATAAAATGCTTGCTTGGAATGTGATGCGATATACATCGGACAAACACCGCTAGAGAGAAATCAAGGTAATCAGAAGAAATGAACACCGTAGAGCATCTGTTCGACCACCGAGAAATAAATCCAGTTAATGAACTAGAAAAGCTTGAAAAATCATCAGCCATAGGTCGTCTACACGCTACGCTACAGAATCAGGTCACAAAATTGATTTTGACAATATTGAAATCGTCATCCAGAAAAAGCATTTCAGAAATCACAAAGAACGTCTAATATCATCAGAAGCACTTCATATCAAGTGGAATCCAAATTGTCTGAACTGAATAGGAATGATGGACTAAAACAGAATTTGACCTGGTTACAACACCGTCCCCCCCCAATGAAGTGACAAAATCAACACGAATGTGATAAGCAAGTTCACTATGTAAACACACACTGCTTTCATAATTTTACACACTGATCAAATCCAACAATCTACACTTGGTTTTGTTATCTTTACCAATTGACCAACTTGACAACGGAAAATGACCCCAGACTGACGAACGATGATCAAGTTAGTAAACTTTGTTTTGATACCAGCCAGGGCAGATGTACTATTACCTTTGTTATTTGGTTTAGTGATTGATCTTCATTGTTATTTTGACTTTCAAAATGTCCTCCTTTTAACTTGACCCAAGTAGTCAAGTCTATTTTCTCACCCACCTCTTAACTCTTTGTTATATATATGCTGAGTGGATTTTGTAAATTCTTCTGGTTTAATAATACTGCTTTGATAAAGCTATTAGCAGCAGCACTAAATAGCGAAACGTCAGTAAAAACGACAATATCGTTTTGCTCTTTTTCATTCATTGAGAAATACAAAAATGAACCTTTATTATAATGAATATCATATACCACCGAATACCCAAATATTTTCAAACTGTTCAAAAGGGAACTTGGTTTGGACATATTTTAGAATAATGACACAATTAAAAGGCAGAATAATCGACTATGATCAACCGATAGGCACCCAGTTCACACACACATAATACCAGCCTACTGCTAGCACATTTGTTCAACAAATTAACTAATTGATTTGTTGTAATACACGTGGTTATTTATATATGAATATGTATATATAAGTTCAGCGTCCAATGAACTGGTGTTATAGCTAACTGGATACATTTAATAAACAGCCGTCACTACTGCCTAATACCTGCAACGGTCGGTGGGTTTTCGACATAGAACTTTGCACATATGTGCGGCAGTTCACGTCGCCACACTCCCTCCACTCAATGTAGCACACAAAGCAAGAGAAGAAAGTAGGAGAAATGCATAATAGAGAGAGAGAGTAAACAGAGGTGTGGTGAGACAAAGGAATAGTAATAAAGAAGAACAAAACAGTTTAATTGGAAATCATAGGTCACAAGGAGTGGATGCATCTGCGCCAGTCATTGAGAACGATGGGTTTGAGCCATGTCACCAACTGTTTTCAACCATTGGTTTTTACCGTCCCGAGGACCCCAACATGAAGCTAGTCTACCCCTTCCTACGTGGCTTAGACTAACTGTTGTAGATTTCATTGACTGATGAAGTCATGTTTTGGTTTGACCGACGCTAACTCTCTCTTTTCCAGCCTGACCTCATATTATCAGCTAACAATGCCCGTCAGTCGATGAAGGAGATGACTAGGCATACGTAACACATGTCCTAACCACCTCAGTCGATGTAATTTCACAGTCTCGTCTATTGATTTCCCCACCTTACCTAGCACTCGACTTAAACCTAACCTCAATATTGCTCACCTTATCATACCACTTCACACAGGAGATAGAACGCAGACACCTATGATCGAAGACACCTGCAACAAAAATGAATATTAGAATTTAATTGGTGGACGGTGACTAGCAGTGGAATCCAGTCCAGGATAACGCGCATTTCCTCCGTCCTATTTGGGACTCGTCCGCCAGCTAGTGGATGTACCTGCATTCCCCAGTCAGTGAGTCAGTGATGATGTTCCCACCACGGAGGCTCGAACCCAGTGCCCATAGTTTCAAACACCAGCAACCAAAGCGTTATCCACTAGACCACTTGGGCCACGAGAGCCACCTCCTTGTTCTTGTGCAACGGGTCATATTAATTATTTTAATTGAATTTTTTAGATTTTCCCGTCGATTGATTGAACCAAAGTGCCGACACGTCAACCTGAGTCCAATTAATCGACGGAAAAATCTAAAAAAATTCAATATATATACATATATATATATAAATATGTAAAAATAAGAACAAATTAGTTCAGCGAAGAGTCTCTTTTCGACGAATTCATTCACTTAGCTGTACAGTCACAAATATATATGCAATTAATTTTGTGTGTGTGTACATTAGGTTTGTCAAAATCAAAATCAAAATAACAGTTAGTGTGGGTTGTTGATTATATCATCAAGATAATGAAGAAGTTAAAATGTGTGATTAATACTCAAAGTTGTAACTAAGTGGGGTGAAGATTGGTAAGATGTGAGTAGGGTTACGTAATATAGACATGTTTAGAAAGATTAGATGTTAGTGAAGGAGTATGGAGACAATTATTTTGATGATGTAATCAACAACCCACACTAACTGTTATTTTGATTTTGACAAACTTAATGTACACACGCACACAAAATTAATTGTATATTTCGTGGATTCTCATCAACTACATACATCCTAAACAAAATCAAATTATAGGTTTCAAGAAAAGTATGTTCCACAACTTTCTTGAAACCTATAATTTGATTTTGTTTAGGATGTATGTAGTTGATGAGAATCCACGAAATAAAACGAGCTCGTATTATCCTGCAAACATGTTCATTCTTTCTCTCTTCAAACTAATAAAGGGAACCGGTTGCATGAAATTAATTGTATATATTTGCGACTGTACAGCTAAGTGAATGAATTCGCCGAAAAGAGACTCTTCGCTGAACTAATTTATTCTGATTTCAATGTCTTAATGGGTATTTTTGCGCGAATTAAAAATGTTGAGAACAGACACTTTATTCTCATGTTCATTCAATCAATCTGTATAGGCGTTTTTGATAGTCATCTTAAGTAAAACACTCTACCTATCCTTTGTTACTTGAAATCATAGAATACGAAATAAGCGAAGCCCCTTCAGTGTATAGATATATTTACAGCATATACATATACTTGGTATATGTTGCAAAGTTCAGTGGAACACAAAAATCTAATGAAAACCATCACATTGAAAATGTAAGTTGATCGCTTAGATTAGTGTCGATAGTGTTGTCTAACGCTTGTCTAACACCGGCGTTTGTTTTCGTGTGTTTGTGTGTGTGTGTGCGTGTCTTCACGTTTGTTCGCTTGTTTTAGTGTGTTAGTTTTAACGCATTACTCAAAATCGAGTCTGTCCTCTTTTTCTTTTTAGTTTTTTGAGTGTTTTTCTTTTTCAACTGCCATTTCAGTTGGTTGGTAATTCAAAAGTTGAACTGACTGAAGGTACTGATAGATTGAGCTCTATTTTTTGGAGTATAAATAGTTGTGTAACAACAGAAGACAAGGGCCACTCAGCAGATCGTTTATTAAGGAAATCAACAGATATTTATCGATTATTGTAAGCAGACAAACACAGTCTTCTGATTGGTCGTTTCTCTTTGTGGCTGTTTTTTGAAGGTCAGATCATCTATCTATCTGCTAATTGTATCCGCCCACGCAAACAAAGTGTGCTGTGATTGGCTGTTGGTTGAATCAGTCAGTCTTCGTTTTTCTTCTTGTTTTATCATGACCAATAATATTTGGGACATAAACATTTTATCACGAACTGTTGTCAGTTATTGAATCATTAAGAAGCAGACAGCATAGTGGACAATTGTTTCGGCCTATTGTGAGACTCTCTAGCAGTGCGCACTAGTGACTCATTTAGGCAAAAAATTCAGGATCCTCATGTTACGAGGTCAGTCCGCTGACTTTTTTTATCTGTTTGATCAGAGCTTAGTAATCTATGATTCCTAAATCGGTAGTGTCAGCTATGTCAGAATGAGATAGATTCTAACCGTTGGCTTTAGGATACTGTGATTCTATCTTAATAATTGGCAGAATTCGGGAATTTTCTATAGTTTGGTTTGTAAGGGTTAGTTTTGTTTTTACAAGTTGCTCACGCACAGATTGATATCAGTTAGAGAACCATTGAAAACCAGCATTGCAAGGAGTACTAGACAGCCAGCTGTTTCATCAGCCAAGTTTAGAAATCATCGTCAGTACGCACACACCACTGCACCGGGGTTCGAACCCAGGACCTTCCGGTTACAAGGCTAGCAAGCTGGCTGACTCGTATACCATTCAGCCACTCATCGGGACCCGATTCAATTGCTCAGGAATTCTAACTTCGACCAATTCGTGATTTAGTGTGACACTAACCAAACTAGGCTGATGAAACAGCTGGCTGTCCAGTACTCCCTGTGGCTGGTTTTCAGTGGTTCTCTAACTGAAATCAATCTGCGCGTGATCAACTCGTAAAAACAAAACTAACCCTTACAAACCAAACTGTATTATTATTCATTATTGTATCCTTTAATTCCTAGAGGAAAATAGGGCTTCAGCCGTGCGTCTTCATTGCATTCGGTTCTCTGCTAGAGTCTTCACCCAGCTCCAAGTCTGCCCACACGTTTTCATCTCCTCTTCACATGACCTCCTCCAAGTCACCCAACCTCGCACTCATGACCAACTCGCCGCTTCCCTTTTGGGTTCCACTCGAGCAGTGGCTTGTCTAGTGATGTCACTTGATGGTTTGTTTCCTCAGAGGATGGCCAATCCATCTCCATTTCTTCCTGCCTATTTGTGTCACAATCGGTTCCTGGTTGGTTCGCTCATTGCCAGAGATCTCTGTTGCTGATCTTTTCTGGCCATCTGATCTTGAGAATTGAACGAAGACAACTGTTAGTAAAGGTCTGTAGTTTGTTTGAGGTGCTCTTTATGACGTCTCTGATCCGTATAGTAGCACTGACTGAATTCACATTGGAGTTGAAAATCGGGATCTTATTTTTGATGCTGAGTAGTGCTGTTGACCTCCACACAGACTTGACAATGGTTAGATATCGCGAATTGGAAGAAGAATTCAGAGTTCACAGTCATTCAGTAAAACTTAGGTGGATGGATGAGGTGTCAACGGGTCGGTCTCATAATTTGAAAGTCCTAAGTTCAATACAGACACACACACACACACATCAAATTGAAATACGCAGTTTGAAGTGTCGAGGATTGGCGACTGGTCCTGAGTGTGTGTTTACGGAAACAAATGCATAAGTGGTACAGAAAGGCGATTGTCTACTCATGGCATGATGGAGCATTTGCCAAAAATGGTTGAAAAAAACAACTGAAGTCGAAGTTCCTTAACAAAAAGCACCTTGTTGACTACGGACATGATATCGACTCTGTCAAGTTATTCACAGTTACCATGAGACAAAGAAACAGAAAGATGCTTGCAATTGCACAGAGGCTTGTGCAATTTGAGCTAATAAACCTGGTCTCTTTGTACAAAAGGAGGTGGTCTTCACTCTGAATCTACCATGATAGTATGTTACCTCTTATTATTATTGTTATTATTATTATTATAACCATTACTACTGATATTAATCTGTTTGCAATTCTTGTTATATTCTCTAATGACTAATTGTTTATCTAAGTGATGTGTGATTGAAGCGTAATGCAATTTGTCTTAATTTTGATCTCTCATACTCCCTTCCCCCACTTATCTATTTGAACATGAGCTGAAAAACATTCGTACCTGTCTTTCTGCATGACTAATTCAATGTAGTTTGTTTGTGCTAATCAGTCTTATATCTCCCGATGTAATTTCAAAAGTATATATACATATCCGTTTATGTAAAGTACTGAGCAGCTGACGGACGAGTTCTACCGAAATTTGATGAATCCGTCATTAAATCATCCTGCTTTATTAACCACATTTATTGCTTGTTTCAAATTAATATCATTAAATGCAGCTAACAGAAAACTTAACAGTGATGGACAACGTCCCAAATGGCGATATCAGAATCCTGATGGGTGAAATGAATGTGAAACTGGGAGGAAACAATGCAGGAAGAGAACTCATCATGGGTCATGAGGCCCTCAGTAAAATGAATGACAATGGTGAAACGTGGCAGGTCACAAAGAATATGTCCAACAGCCTGTTGCAGACCTTTATCAAAAATAACTGTCTTCGCTCTATAATGAAGATCAGATGGCCAGAAAGAACAAGAACCAACAAGAAACTATGGGAACAAACAAACGAAACAAGAAGCAATCGCCCGAGAAATATGCAGGGGAAGGTAGAGATGGATTGGACACTCGCTGAGGAGGCCGCTGAGTGACATGGCGCGTCAGGCCAGTGCTCGAATGGAACCCGAAAGGGAAGCGGTTAGTGGGACGTCCAAGGGTGACATGGAGGAGAGATCGTGTGAAGAAGATTTGAAACAGTTTGGACTAACATGGTTGCAGGTGGAAAGTACGATAGAAGACAGAAGCAAGTGGAGGCGTGCAATTGAAGCCCTATATTCCACTAGGAACCCAAGGGAACAATAATTATAATAATAGAAAACTTCTTCGTCATATCGCCATCTTGTGAGCACACAGCAGAGAAGTAAAAAAAGAAAAAATAGCGTTGTAATGTCCAACTTATGTAAAGTGGTATTTAAATGAGTTTGAATATAAAAACCTTTACCTGTGTCACCTGAAAAATCTGTGATAAAATCAGGTGGTCGGCTGTAACATATTTATGGCATATTTATCCTTCTCATGTGTCAAACAGATACAAGTACCTCATCAGTAATAAAATTTTAAGCAAAAATGGAGAATTTTTAAATTACTCAAAATCTTAGGCAATTAAATAAATTTAAAACAATTAGCTCCCTTTATAAATTTATATGAAGCAATAAGAAGACGTAATTTGTCTGAATCGGGTGTATTGTCTATTTGCGCAACACATTTCAAACAATCTGATCCATCACACACACGGACTTGTCATAGGAGTACAGATATATATGAAATTAATAAAGAGTGAGTTAAGAGGAGAGAAAATTGACTACTTAGGTCAAGTTAAAAGGAGGACATATTGAAGGTAAAATTAACAATGAAGATCACTCACTCAACCAAAAACAGAGGTTATATTACGTTCACCCTGGTTGGCATCAAAACAAAATTTACCCACAAGGAATGTAGGTTTAGTTAGCGTGATGACAAATTGCTGCTTCAAACGCATAAAGGTGGTCTAAACTTCCTAACTGCCAGCTACGACTAGCTTCCACAAACTTCAGGATATCGCCTCACTTAAACACGCTTTTATACATAGATAGATGTAAAAGATCTGTTCACGTCAATTTTATGTCCTGTCTCCTCTGTAATATGTTTCGCAATTGAGGAGCTAGCTAGGTCTTCGTCCGATCTCACCGTTAATTCATGGGTTATGAAGATTCCATTTGTTTCTGGAGCCATTTAAGGAATATGCTCTGAAACCAGCCAGTCCTTACTTGCAGAGATCGATGAATCCTCCCTATGTATGTGTGTATGTGTCCACACGTCCATTCAAAATGGTAAGCACAGTGGGATGTGACATCATTTCTCGCATGTTCAAAGGGCTTAGATGGATGGATATATTGGCTTCACATTCTCAATTATTATGATCTCAGCTGCATAAAATGTCTTTTTCAACAGCAGTGTTCAGTCTTTGTCTAGTTATCAAGATGCTATGACACCCTATATAGGGTAGCTTGATGTACACGTCTTTCTTATCGGCGAGTGGTAGAGTGGGTGTTCCACTGACCACTCTATATCTCCTGATGAACTTGTCTGGATCATAGTTATCAACCAGAGTTTGTGTCAACTTTCTTTCTTCCTCATCATCAAGTGTGTCTGTCTTCAGTGCATATTTTTGTTGGATCCGTCGATAAATTCACAATGTACGACATATAGATGCCGGCTAAAAGGGACCCTATCGGACTTCCCATAGCAACACTGTCAACATGGCGGAAACAATCGCCTTCAAATGTAAATCTAACATTGTTAGTACACAGAAGCAATAAATCCCTTAAATAAGATATATGGAACGGGATGAAAAGATTGTTTGTGTGGAAATGTAATCACAACAACAAAATGTCAACTGTTTTGGGCAAAGTCACATTAGTAGTGAATAACGAGTTTACATCAAAAGAGTACATATATTTTTATTCATAATATTATTATTATATCGTCAAGAAAAT